GTTGAGGGGGGTGGCGCTCGGAGAGGAGGAGGAAAGGAGGAGGGGGCGTGGAAAAGGGAGGGAGTTTGCGTGTGTGGGTGGGTGTGTCATTAGATGGATGGATGAGTGGCAAACGCAGGTGAAAAAAGAAAGCAAAGTAAACAAGGAGGATTGCGGTGTCCAGGGGAGCAGCGTGCGAGACAAGGGCCACGCCCGCAGCCCTTGCCTCGCCTTGCAGGCCCTCTCCTCTATCTCGCGCGTCCCGCGGCTGCGCGCTTCAACAGCCAGAGTTGTCAGCGTTTCCTCAGAGTTGTCAGTGTTTCCTCTGAGCGGCTGCATCCTGAGGCCTGGACCCTGGAACCCAAGCCCACCTGCCAGTGCAGGATGTCTTGGACCGAGCCACTGGTGGGGACGCCCTCGGGCCACATGGGCAGCACGACGTACACGCGGAACGGCTCCCCGGCCTGCAGGTCGGGAAGGTGGCGGCACAAGGCAAGGCCAGGTTCGCCGAGCTCGTTCAAAGGTTTGGACGGCGGCATGGGGTGCATTCCAATGGATGAGATTTCGCGATGGGCGCAGCCCGGTGCGCATGCGCGACGGAACGCCGCAGCGTCGCTAGCCGCCGAGCTGCGGCGCGCAGCCAAACGAGGCCGCCCGGTGCGTCCACAATGAGAATTCAGAGGGGCGTGGGACGGCGCGGCGCACCCTGATCTTGGCGCAGATCTTGAGCACCAGCTCAGCGGGTATGAGGTGCGTGGCGGTGGCCTCCTTGTCGCCCTCCCACAGGTGGCTGGACCCCAGGAAGTACTGACAGATTGGGGGGAGGCGAGGCAGCAGGGGGGTTGGGCAGGCTGTGCCAGGGGTCCGGCTGCATCGTGGGTGGGCGCATCAGCGCGGCGCAGTGGCAGGCTACTTGCGAACATCAGTGCCTGGCGAGTAATACACGAACCGAGGCCGCGTACTGGCCTTGTTTCACGGGATTCGCAAGATCAGGCTGTGGCTTGTGGCCTCCTCGGTATAGTGACCCCTTGGCAGCCATTCCCCCTCCTCATGGGCGCGCCTGACAACCGGCGCCAACACGCAGTCCCTAACCCTTGCACCCACCACCATACCACCCATTCACCTGTCAGCAGGTGAGCCCGCACTGTTATCCCACCCACCCAACCAGGCCCCCCGACCCCACAGAAACACACACACACACACACAGACACACACACGCGTGGACACATACACACACACACACACGTACACACGCAAGCACCTGGTTTTCGATGTAGATGAAGCGCTGAGCCTGGCGAATCGCGTTGATGTAGGCCGTGTGGATGGAGCGGTCCACAACCTGGGGGCGGGGGGGTGTCAGGGCCTGGGCTGTGAGTGCGGACTTGAGGAGGGCATGTGACGGGGTGTTCTGGGATCAATACAAGAAGCGCAGACCATACGAAAAGGTGGTTTAAGTGCATTTGCTTGCGGACCTGCATTCTCATGCAGATGGACGACTCACAGATGCGGTGTACAGCTATGTGCAGTGCCAGCAGCTATCAAAGCAACAAGAAGTGCTGCTGCTTGGAGCTTTGCAGCTCCGTTTATATACCGGGCCCCCTTGCACACGCGCCTTTCCCTTGAGGATCCCGAGGCCGGCCTCGTATGTGCCCTCGTTGGTGCTGCCAAAGCCCCTTGCCGAGTCTGAGTCGATAGACCTGGGGTGGCATTGCCACCCCATCCAGATGGAGGTCAGGAATTAATGGTTGATGAGGTGTGATGGAGGTTGGAAACGTGTGTGTACGTGTGTGTGTGTGTGCGTGTGTGTGTGAGTGTGTGTGTGTGTGTGTGCGTGTGTGTGTGCAAGTGTGTGTTTGAGCGTGGCAGGGGCACAGCAGTCAGGCCACTTCTGTGGGGCCCTGCATAAGAAGGCGCAGACTCTCGAAGGAGCGTGAGTAGCAGCCCGCTTCACAAAGAAGACCGCAGGACGCCGTTACAGTCTTCATCCTGTTATATGATGTGTGAAGGGCGCTCGCCTGAAGACCTGGACGCCCCAGCTGTCGGGGTCTGAGGGGTCCGACAGGATGAAGCCCGGGTCCTGAGCCTTGATCACAGCCATCTGGGGGTTGGGGGGTGAGCGGGTGGGCGGCGGCTTGTGAGCTTCTGCGCCATAAAACGTATGGGGTTGAGAATAGTTGAGAGAAGGGGTAGTGACTAAGGACTGATGGGCTTTGATGATTAACAACGAAGGGGGGCCACCCACACAGGGGTCGAGGCGATGAGATACGGGGACGCGCGTCCCCAGGTGAGTCAGGGCACCATGGCAAAGGACGGCTGACGAGTGAGGGAGGCTGCTGTGGAGGTTGCGCTATGGCCGGCCATTGCGGGTCAAAGGTTGCTCCTATCCAGCAACCCTCCCTGCTCTACCCAAGGAGGACCTTGCCCTCTGAGAGCCTGGACTCGTGGAGCACGCATCAACGCCCACCTTGACTGCAAAGGGGTTCATTGCGGCGTGTGTGCCGTGCCCTCTGAAGTGTGTCGACATGAGTCGTCCGAAGTATTGCCTCCTGGACTGTGACATGAGGCAGGGGCAGGCAAGGGCAGGATCAGGCTGGGGGTGCTGAGGAAGGCAGGTGGAGGGGAGTGGCGCTCCCCACACAGTATGGTTTGTGATACCATGGGATACAAGGCTGGGGCAGGCATGCCTTGCAGCACATGTACAGGCAGCTATGGCGCCGCCTCCCGCCGCCCCGAGCTGTCCAGAACGAACGTGCGCGTTGGACACTGACGCGAAGACAACGCCCGACAGCCCAGCAGCTTCACGATGGCCAAGCTCAGAAGGCTTCTACGGCATCGCGGCTGGGTAGCCCGCGGAGGGGATTGTAGAGGGCACACCCACCACGTACTCCATCAGGGGCCGCGGCATGTGCACGTCCAGGGTGTCGTCGAGGGTGGTGATGTCCTTCTGACGCCGAGAGCCGGCCTGCGGAGAGAAGGGCGCAGCGGCAAGCCGAGATTCATTGGGGCGTGAAGACAGGCAAGAGGGTCATGGGGAGAGGGCCCGCGAGGCCAAGGAAATCGCAGGCAGCAGGGGAAGACGCCGCACGTTGACGAGAGGCGAGCGCTTCCCTCAACGTGTGGGACAGGCCTGCAACCAGCCCCTCGGCTTGCGCCAGATAACCCTTGTGAGTCCCAGGCCCTGGGCGACCTATCTGCTGGGTAGCACGCCCCACGCACCTGCTTTGACCAGCGCTCCAAAAAGTTGATCATCACTGCGGCGGGATAGAGGTAGGGCGCAGATCGCAGTGCGAGGGTACCAGCGAGACCAGCTAAGTGGCAGCAGATGCACAGCACACCAGCGTCGGCAGCTGCAGCAGCACCAACGCCAGCACCAACACCATTATCATATCAGCACGAGCAACACCAGCAGCACCAGCAGCACAAGAATAAGCAGCAGCCGTGGTGCCAGCAGTATTTGGGTCAAAGCATGCAAGGAGCTCCCTTACTTGCTACGCCGTGTCAGCGCGCCCGCACCCCCCTCCCCTTGCCATGTCTGCCGCAGCCACGCGCACCATCGTATGCTGCCGGCCCCTCAATGCGCGCGTGGATGTCGTGCCATGGCTCCCGCGGCGCGCTGCGCTCCGCCACAAGCCCTGGGCGAGGGGCGGTTTGGACGCGCTGTGGACAAGGCTCCGGGAGATTGCGATAAACGGGGGCTGGATGAGGCTCTGAACGAGGGTGGCGGACAGCCGGCCCCCACTGCACCCCTCGTAGCATCGCTCTGTTACGGCGGGCACTGTGAGCCCTCCCAAAAACGCAGCTCGAGCGCGGCACGCAACGCGGCGCGCCTGTGCACTGCCACTGTCATCACGCTGCCACTGTCATCACGCAAATACTGTTGCTGTGCTCAGCTAGGCATCAGGCTCAACCAGCTCCCAGGCAACACCCGCACCCATCGCCCACTCGCGACCCCACGCATGCGCACCCTCAATACACGGCTGGTGCATGTCTCCCTCGTGGGGGCCGCCCGGGCCGTCAGTCCCAAAGATGGGGTGGTCCCCCGTGTCGTACCTAGGTGCGAGCGCATAGGATCACGTGCATGCAAGCCATGCGTGTGTGAGACCAGTGGGAAAAAAAGAAAGCGTGCGCGTGTGAGAGCGCGCTTGTGCGTGCACGTGCAGCAAAATGCGGTCAACACGCCCAAAGCAGGGCATGCGTAACCTCGTACGCCGTGCTCATGCCCCGCTCGCGCGGCTGCACGCAGCCCCTTTTCCCCTAGCTCCCACCTGCCGTCGCACAGGTCGAGGCCCCCCACGAATGACACCACGTGGCGTCTCGTGGAGACCTCCGGATGTGCATTCCGTGGCACGGACGACGGCGGCGGCGCGTCGACGATGATGGTCTTCTGGTGGTGCGTGAACGAGGTGCGCGTCACAGACTGCGGGACCGGGGTTGCAAATTGGATGGGTGGTCGAAGGCTCAGGACAGAGGGGGTGGGAATGGCAGACCGACCACGCCAGGAGCGAGTAGCATCACCTGCTCGAGCCAAAAGAGCATGAGGAGCAGGTATGCTCGACATCATGTGTGCATGGCCCCGTGCTCAAACCCTGGTCACACTGCTCCCAGAAGCAGCCTCTCTCAGCCACCCATCGCTACACTGCACAATCCTTGACAAGGCTCGCTTGAATGCGATATGAGAAAACTCAATTTAGCCACATATAGTTTGCAAGCAACACCAAAAGGCAGGGACGGCTTCCTGCAAAAACCCCAAACCCCGGCGCCGCCCCTGCCTCTCCCAGCTCCCCCCCGCCCCTTCTAAACCGCCCAAACCCAAGACCCTCTGACCTGGATGATACTGTCCTCTTCGCCGCCCTGCCGGGGGCACAGCACGCACTTGACGTCCGTGCCCTTGAAGAATGCGTAGGTCTCGTTGTCGTGCGTGGCCATCAGGCCGTCCCCCACCCCCAGGTTGTTGGAGGCGTCGTCCCAGACCAGCAACAGCACCTGGTCACACGGTTTTTGCGTGTGTCGGGGGATGAAGGTGGCGTGTTAAGCCCGGCAAGCTGCTTGTCTATCTCACAGCTGCGGCGGCAAAGTGGCAATGCGGCGGAGGAGGGCTGTCCGGCCCGCACCTTCACGCCCTGCGCCGCCTTCGCCAGCAGCAGCTGGCCCAGCGGCGGCGCGCGTTCAGGGCTGGCGGGCTGGCGCTTTAGCGCCGTCTCGGTCCAGACGCTCCAGCCGGTGATGAGGATGAAGCGCTTGGCCCCCTGGATCGCCTCATACACGTCGTCCCTGTTTGGGGGCCGGTATCAGATAGTCAGGAACGCGAACACCACAGCTGCGAGCCGGCGGGTTGGCCGTGGTTGCTGACTTGGCAAGATCCATGCCAGCAGATGCCAGGTTTTTCACCAATGAAGAGGGCGCGGCTGAGCCCTCCGACGGCCACTAAGCCCAAACGTTGGTGTCCGTCATACAGTGCGGCCAGCAAGGGTCCGAGCGACCAACAGTCTGCAACTGTGAGCATGCGGGGAACTTTGATTATGATGGTCCCCACCAGCAGGAGGTCTCCTGGTAAGGGGTGCCATCCCCCAGCAGGATCTGGGTTTGTGTGTATGCGTGTATTGTGGGGTGGGGGGCAAGCGTGAGGCATGCACTCGCACGCATACAGTGGACGTGGCCTCACAATTGCGCATGCGCATGGTCCCAAACATGCTGCCATGCTCGCGTGCCGAAGGGGGCAGCCGCTCTCGCACGCATGGGCTGCAGGCAGCGCGTTGCTCCACACAGGGGTCGTGGAATTGCAAGGATCAAGGGCAGGGTTCTCACGTCGTGCAGGGGCCCTGGCGTCTGGTAGGCGTCATGGTACAGCTTCACCTTGTTGCCAGTGCGCTGCGAGGCGCAGCACGGCATGGGGGAATCCAGTCAAGCGGCAGCGCCGTGCTCGGCCTTGGGGGCGGCAAGGCGGCACCCTGGCACCGGCCCGCGAGCAGCAGCGAGCTGGATCTCATCCAGGGGGTCACGCCGTGCATGGACAAGGGTTGTGGCACAACCACCCACAGGCGCCTGCATGCATTAGTGCCCCGAGGATGGGGGGCCGGATGCCCTGTTGCTAGGCGCACCATTGGGAAGTACGTGCGGGGGACCTCGCCCCTGATGACCGGTCCTGTAGAGGCAACAAACTTCCTCTGTGAAGGAATGGCATGAGGTGGTATCATTACAGGGCCCGCAGCGCCCACCCACGACGCCATAGATTTGGCATGAAGCAATGTAGCTGCATGGCTGATCCTCCAAGCCGTGCTGCCATTGGAGCTTCGTGTTCCAAGCTTGTCATTCTTGTCTCACCCCTGCCTCCACGAGCCAAACGGTATCGAAGAAGCTTTTGCTGCCCCTCTGCATTCTGAACAGCAGCAACCTCGACCGATGCGTGCGCGCCCCGCCGCGCCCTTGGACGCCGCCGAGCCCCTTGAACGCGGACCTGCGTCTCGACGCTGCGGTACTGAATGTAGATGTGGATGCGCGCCTGGCGGAACTCCCCTGGAAGCTTCAGGCCCACGGGATTGCCCTGCAGGCGTGAGCGTGACAGTACGGCAATCAGCATGAACTTCTGGCGCCACGCATGACCATCGCTGGGTCAGGGCGCGGGCCCCCATATGCAGCCTCGTGTGCCTCGCCGCGCCATCCACTGCCACGCTAATTTCATCGCCAGTCACGCGCCGCCCCCTCCCCCCCCCAACGAGGCTGCTCACACCGTCACCCCCCCCCGCTGCAATCGCTTGCGGCCAGCGCTTGTCATGCAAACCGCTGCCCTCGACACTGTCGGTCTGCATTCGACTCTCCCAAGCAATCGAAACGCCCAAAACGCAAAGGAGTAACTAGCCAACCCTCTGCCAGTTCTGTGGCTGCCTCCTTATGCGGACACACCAACACACGCATAAAAACACGCGTGCGCACACCTGTGTACACACACACACACACATCCACACACACACACACATGCACACCTGTGCATCCACCAGATCCAGCACCAGGTTGTGCATTTGCTCATCCAAGAACTGCGCCGCGTCAAACGTCGCCTGCCCCAGCTGCTCCGCCCCGACCAGGTCGGCGTCCTGCATGAATGTGCATGCGTGCAAGGCGTGTGCAATCGGCGTGCTGTGCCCACGAAACTGTGCTTTGGCCTTTGAGGGTCGGCCCATGCACCAGTGCCATACCGGCAGAAGCCCATCGCATGCGGCTCAACCGCAGGCAAGCGGTCGGTCCAGCATGCCGGCCAGCCATGCACGCGGCTGTGCGAATTGGGGATGTGCGCACCTTGACCACCACCCGCATATCGTCGGTCTCGTCTGCCACGTACACCTCAAACTGCTCCTCCCATTGGGGACTTGTGTCGCCAGACATGACGCTTGTGCGCAGGCGCCGCGTGCCGGCGAGCTCCAGCACGGCGTACGGGTCGCAGGAGCCGTACAGCGCAGGCCCAAGGCCGCAGCACACAAAGCGCTTCACGACAGATGAGACCTATGCAGGCAACGGCGTGGTCTGAGAAATTGGGGTTGGATTCGGGCGGCTTGAAGGCCGCCTCGAAGCGGCGTGCAGCGGGGCGAAAGCGGCACGAGGATGCTCCCGCCTGCTGGGTCTGCTGCCTCACCTGGGTTCTGATCGTGCGAGGCAGGTGCTCCGCCTTGTCGACATAGACGTTGAGGACGCCATGCAGCAGCACCATCGCGGCAGCGGCCGCGCGCGCACGCGACGATGACGTGCGTCTGCCGGGCACCTGGGCGCAGCTGCAGACAGCGCCTCACGACAAGACCCGCGCGTCAGGTGGCAAGTGCCTGACAAGCCACGACTAGAGCTTTGATTCCCTCGCTCTTGAAGCGTGCTTCGTTTGCCGTCCTGTTGACGCTGTGGCGCCTCGTTCCGACGCGCCTCAAGGATCTGTACTGTGTTCGCCGTTTACCGTATGCGGATGGAAGTCAAGGTACAGTAGCGACACTCGATTTAGCCGCTACTTGATGACTCTGATACTATACCCTCCGTGGTGCTGCCTCGGTGAATCAGTGAGGGCCCTGAGGCCCCCTCAGCCCAAGCCGAGCCCGTCGCCTTCCTGCGGTGCTGGTGTAATGTAGAAGGGATGCACAGGGTAAGGTGCATGTGTAGGTGTTGTGTGATAACCTCCACTGCAGTTTGTGCACCGAGAGGGTGAGATCCAGGTGCTGCGGCCTGCAAATCCTAACAACGGTGTGACCACACTGTCGAATGTCGATGTTCAAACCAGGCCGTGGCTTGGGTCAGGGCTGCCATCCTGCACTTGCTAAGGCCACTGGCACAGCACTACGCGCTTAAATTACCATGCTGGATTCCTGCCATGCAACTGTGGTGTGAGCACGAAGGAATTGCACCTCACGCACATCTCCCGCAAGTCAAAAGTCTGCACCTGAAGGGATCACAGTCACATGCTTGCGCAGGCACGCCGGGATGGCACAATTGATACGCTTACTCAGCTATTAATGGGGGCAGGAGACGGCAGCTCTGTGCAAGGCGTACCGGTACAGTGCTGTGGACAGCATTGCGGCGTGCCAACCACCAATGCAAGAGGGGCAGACACGGTTCAGGCAGCACGCCGCTGCCACGACAGCACCTCAAGCAGGTGCCACCATACCTTGCCCGTTAGCTGTGTGTGTACAACACAATCATGGGGAGCCCAAGGGTTGCCCAAGGGGAGGCACCCAACAAATGATGAGCGGGCAAGGTCCTTTGGCACCGGCTTCATGACAATTCCGCGCTGTGTGATGGCTGGATGTGGCGCAGCGTCCTGCATAAAAAACACACGCTGCAGGCTGGGCGCGCATGCAGCCGCGCTGCTCTGTCCTGCTTCGCCCCTCGGCAAGTAGAGTAGAGTAGAGGAGACGAGGCGCTGGGCGCCCAGTACGTGCTAAGTACCGACGCGAGGGTCAGGGCATCCGCCCGTTCCCCGGCTGCCCCACCGGTGTACTCTGCAAGCTTTGGTGCTGATGCAAGGTATGGAGCTCACAATGCAAAGGCTGCAGGCCGCTGCAACCAACATGTGAGTGTCCAATTGGTGCACGTCACTGAACCACAATTGTCTGCGCAATGGCACAAGCACTGGAGCAACATACTGTACGGTACTGGTAGTCACTTTGGGGGCACTCCACTGGTGGCGCAGACAGCAGAGCAGCAGCACTGGCAAAAACCGCCAGGAGTGCCCAGTCAACGCTTGCAGGAAAGTCACATGCCTGTGTTTATAGTCTATATCTCAACCACCCCGGAGTCGTAGTAGACCGTCTACACCGTCACACAGGGGCGTCAAGTGACAAGCATGCGGGAAGCAGCCGCACACTTATGGGACGCTTTACAAAGTATCACTCGCTATTTTGCTGAAGCGGAGCCTGCCCATCGTCTGATCTGCGGGCGTGACAAGAGCGAAATTGTCCCCGAGATGGACACAGTAGTCAAGGAGGCACGATATGTGCTAAATGCTGCCGTGCTGTGGCCCCTGCAGCCGTCGTTCCCAGGTGCGTGCAGCATGTGCGGAGGGGGCGCCGCCACACTAGCGCAGCGTGAGCAGGGCACCACGGCGCCTACCTTGACAAGGGACCTCAGAGCCATCCCACCGCCTCTCCCACACTGCAGCCATTGCGCTGGATGCTGTCATCGCCGCGCTGCCCTATGATTACCCGTCTTCCAGGGCCAGCCTGCGTGCCACCTGCCGAGCCGCTCGCGCGGCGATGGACGCGCGTTGCGAGCGCCTGTGCGTCTCTGCGAACTACGCGACGTTCGCAGCGTCCGCGCCGCGGTTCACGTCACTGCAGACGCTGGACGTCAGCAGCATAACCAGGCCCGGCGAAGGCGAGGCCGTCGCGCGTGCGCTGCAGCTGCTGACGGCGGCGCCCCTGGCCAGCGTGCAGCTGTACATCGAGGAAGGGGCGCCGGACGCCGACGTCATCGCAGTGGCCAGGGAGCTGGGCGCGCTCACGGCGTTGACAGGCGCCGCCCTGCACGCCCACGTGAGCCGCCGCGGGGGGCGTGCGCTAATCAAGGCCGCGGCGGCCCTGCCAGGGCTGAAGCGCCTGCACCTCGACCTCGTCGTCAAGCGCCCCCTGGAGCCGGATGACAGCTTGTACATCCTTGGCTATCATGAACCCCCATTCGAACATCGCCCCTCAGACGGGTGGTTCGATGCAACGCCGCTGGTTGACTTGGACTGGCCCCTGCTTGAGGTGCGTATGCGCTCCGGCACGTGCAAAGGCCCGAGGCTCCCATCACGACTGCTGCTTGTCGAGCCCTTTATTGCTTATGCCATGTGCAGCGCCTGTGGTGGTGGGCTGTAGTCCCCTCTGCACACCTTCATTCAACCCGGCATGATGTGCAGTCGTCGGCTTGGCTGCCAGGCGCGTGCCCCGACCTCCATCCCACTCTCCTGCGCTTTCCTTGCAGGAAGTTCGCCTGAGGCGCGCGGCGCTCGCGCTTTTACCGCAGCTGGCGGCCGCCCAGCTGCCGCGTCTGCAGCTGCTCGCCGTAGAGGACACCCTCCATGCAGATGCAGCGGCTGGCGGCGCAGCAGTCGATTCACTGTGGGGCGCCGCATGGTTTGGCCACATCACGCACCTGGTGTTCAAGCTCCCGGATGGGCACCCAGTGCGGCTCAGCGGATTTGCGCCGCTGCCAGGGCCAGCCGCGGCAGCCGCACCGGCTGTCCTCGCGCTGCGGGAGCTTTCAATCAGCCCCATTGTGTTGAGCCATGACGAAGCTCGCGCGCTGGCGGCGGCCTCCCTGCCGGCCCTGCGCAAGCTGGCCCTGGCTGGCGTGGAGGGCGCCGGCCTGGAGGCGCTCGCGGTAGCGCCCTGGCTGCGCAGCCTGGAGGACTTTGCAGCAGAGGCTCGGCCAACGCTGTCCGAGGCCGCTGCAGCGGCCCTGGCGGCCGCCGCTCTGACCAGCCTCACGCGCCTGGCCATCGGCGGCAAGTTGTGTTTATTCAACGCAGCCTCGGCGGCTGCGCTCTTGGCCAACCCGGGGATCTTTGTCAGCATGCACAATCTGCACCTCAAAAATTTGCAAATAGGCAGCGCCGACGGCAGCAGTGACGGGGAGCCACTACGGGCGCTGGCGCGCATGCGCATGGAGCACCTGACAAGGCTCGAGCTCCAAGGCGCGCAGCTGGCGGCGCACGACTTTTTGTCGGTGCTGCCGCGCGCGCCGTGGATTGGTCAACTCGTGGAGGTGAATATAGCTGAGAATGACCTTGGAGGCGTTCAGACGTTTGAGGCGCTGGCGGACCTGCCCATGACCAGCATCCAGCGCGTGGAGCTCAGCCACTGCGGCCTCACCCCGGCCTGCATCGCGGCGCTCAATGACGCGGTGTGGCTCGAGGGCATCCAGATGCTCACACTTTATGACAGGTTTGAGACACGCCATGAGATGAACCTAGTGACACGCGTGCTTGATGTCAACAGTGACCCCCTCTCGCAGCTCCGGGACAGTGGGAGGTTCAGTGTGGCCTCATCCGCGCGCTATCATGATGATGACCTGGTGGTTGACGACGAGGATCCGGGTGATGATGGCGAAGATCTCTATGACAATTTGGGCGAATGGCGGTGGTAGGGCATGCTTGTGTGGGTGGCTCAATATTTTGAAATGCAGCTGGAAACGTGGTGCCCTTTCACATTTGCACACAATTTTTTGTGCTCATTGTTTCGGGTGTGTGGGGACACTTCAATAATGTCATGGGCAACCTGGAGAGTGATCAGGCTGCACGACTCAAGCAGGGCGCCTTCTGAGGGATTGCCACCATGTACCTTGAGCCTGAGGTGCCTGAAGAGCATCACAGAGCAAACAACGCAGGCCCCGCCTGTGTTCGCCCATTCCACACAGCGCGAGCTGAGCTGCTGGTCATGCTGCAGAGAGGTTTTGCAGGTTCACAGCTGCCAGAGTTAGGCCAGCCGTGTCCGGCCTCCTTGGCACACAGAACCAGCACTAGATGGCAGTACATGCAAGTCTCGGAACGAATGGCTGAGGTGCAGTAATAGGACATACCTGAGGGTTGAGCACGACGAACCTGTGGTTGGTAGATTGGCAATTGACCCCATTGACTGACCTGCCAGGACAGCGCCACCATGCACCAACCCGCTGGATTGAAGCAGTCGAGCAATCAGGCCCACACGCATAGCTGAGAAGAACTGGGTGCGTATCGGACTTGGTAGCTGGTACAGTATCAGGCAGGCCAAGCGTCAGCACAGCTCGCGGCTCGCGCTGGTGCCGGACCAGCTGTGCCGGACGCGCAAATTACTGGTGCGGCGCGCTCGGCCCTGCCAAAAGGATTCAAACATCTGGAACGTTATGTGCCTGAACGCGCACCCTCATACGTGGTTTGCGTGCTCGACGATCTTGGGATCTGGCGGACAACCGTAGTCTCTGCACAGTGTGCGGAATGGAGGCCTCAGGACCTGCTGGCACGGGTGCCTCTGTGCTGTGGCCCCTGCAGTCGTCGTTTCCAGGTCCGTGCTGCATCACAAGCAGCTTCCGCACTCCGTGCCTAGTGCCCTGCTGCTTCGCCGCATCGCTGGCCCCGCCGGCAGACTCACAAGGCCCCCTTGCTGGCTATCACTCGCCCACAGACGTCGCACTGGATGCCGTCATAGCCGCGCTGCACACAATGGACGCTTCTTGCAAGTCCAGCTTTCGAGCCACCTGCCGCGCAGCTCGCTCGGCCGTGGATGAGCGCTGCGTGTGCCTGGGCCTCTCATCTAGCCACGCGCTGCTCCCCAAGGCAGTCCCGCGGCTACAGGCGCTGCGGGCCCTCTCTGTGAAGGTGGACGCCACGTGGGCCCAGGACGCAGACGCCGGGGCCTTCGCGCGTGCTCTGGCTTTGCCAGCCGCGGCCTCCGTTGCCAGCCTGCAGCTGTACATCGCGCATGAAACGGCAGACCCGGACGTCAGCGCCATCGCGAGGCAGCTGAGGGCGCTCGCCGCCCTGGCAAACGTCGACCTGCACGCCCACGTCAGCCGCCGCGGCGGCTGCGTGCTGGTCAAGGCCCTGGCGGCACTGCCTAGGATGAAGCGGCTGCAGTTGGACCTGATCGTCAAGCACCCGTCGAATCAAGAAGGCGGCTATTCCAGGAGCTTCTATGACATTCCGTTCTCAACGCGCCCGCTGGATGATTGGTACAAAGAGCCACCTCTGATCACTTTCAAGTGGCCCCTGCTCGAGGTGCGCCCTCAGTCGTTGCAACAGCCCGCCATTGCGCTGTCGCCAGCCCACACGCCGCTGCGCAGGGCTCCTGAACTTGGCTGGCACAATCGCCTGCAACTGGCTGCTGTTGCTGAAGCTGAGTTGTGTGTTGTTCGACCGGGAAACTTGACACACCTGAGATCTGCAACCCTCAAATCCGGGTCGCCTTGCCACCCTGCAGGAGCTGTGCCTGAAGCGCGGCGCGCTTGCGCTGCTGCCCCAGCTGGCGGGGGTTCAGCTGCCCAGCTTGCAGCGGCTTGAGATCACGGACACGTTGCATGCAGACGCCTTGGCTGGCGGCGACGCCTTGAGCTCAGTCTGGAAAGCCGGCTGGGTCGCCCGCCTGCAGCGACTTGAGTTCAATTTGCCAGCCGGGTACTGCATCAAGCCAGGCACATTCGCGCCGATGCTGCAACACGGCGCTTCCTCCGTTTCAGCTGGAGCAGCAGGGCCGGCCATGCCAGCCGCAGCAGCGATCCTCGCTTGCCTGCGGGAGCTGCTGATTGGCGCCGACGCCATACGCGCTGACGATGCACGCGCGCTGGCGGCAGCCTCCCTGCCTGCCCTGCGCAAGCTGGCCCTGGCCACTATGGAGGGCGCCAGCCTGGAGGCGCTCGTGGGAGCACCCTGGCTGCGCGGCCTGGAGGACTTTGCAGCAGTGGTTCGGCCAGCGCTGTCAGCAGCTGCCGCGGCGGCCCTGGCAGCCGGCCATCTGACCAGCCTCACACGCTTGGCGATTGGCGGCGTTGCACCTCTTGAGGACGATTCCTTGGAGGCAGCGGCTGCACTGGTGTCAGCGCCCGGTACGTTTGCTGGCTTGCACGAACTCGTGCTGCAGAATGTTCAGCTGGGCAGCATAATTGGCTTTGATGGCACCGGCTCTGGAGAGCCGCTAGAACTGCTGGCGTGCATGCCCATGGAGCACCTGACCCGGCTTGAGGTCAGCGGCACATGCCTGGGGGCGCATGACATCGCAACTGTGCTGCCGCGCGCCACATGGATCGGCCGCCTCTTGGAGCTCCGCATCTCCAACGAGAATTTTTGTGGCGTTCAGGCGTTTGAGGCACTCGCTGACCTGCCCATGGGCGGTCTGCGGCGCATGGACATCTGCAACTGTTGCATCACGCCTGTTTCTCTGGCAGCCCTCAACGAGGCAGTGTGGCTGGATGGCCTGCAGATGCTCAATCTGTCTGACAAATTTGATTCGCATGAGGAGGTGCTGCTGATGGAGAGGGTGCTGCAGGTTGAGGGCGACCCGCTGGCGCAGCTGAAAGGCAGTCAGAGGTTGACGGCTTGCTGGTCTACCAGTGAGCACGACGATTACATGTATGGGATCGACATCGGCGACGAGGACTATGGCAAGGACATATACGACCCTGCTGGTGCATGGCAGTGGTGAGGTGTACATGGCTGGCGTAGCACCCAGCAGTGCTTGCACAATTAAAGATGCAAGTCTGAAGTGTGCGTCGCATGTGTCCTGGCCTCTCTGCTTGTCTTGGTTCTGCATTGTTCTGCCTGCTTGGTTAGGCACCACAGGACGAGTTTCCTGAGGAGGTGCAAGCATGTAAAAACAACAGTTGCAAATGTGTCATGGTCTCAACCGTGGCGTATCCACACGCAATCCAAAAGAATTGCTGCCCAGAGGTTCATGCGCTGGTTGAGCAGCATGTATGCATGGCGCTTCGCAGCATGCATGCGGAGCGTGTGTGTTGAGCCATTGAGCAAGAGGCAGGTCAGCAGGGCCCTGAGGCTAGCCATGCATGTAATGATTGCCACGCATCAATCACCTTTGGCTGGACTCACTCACTCACTCGCACCCACCAAAGACGCACCCCCACAAAGGATGCACTCCACTGGCAGTCGCGCAGGTGCTCGACCCCATTGACCGCCGCCAGGCAGCCGCGCTGGCTTCACCTCCCTTTTTAGTGGCGTTAAACCTTCACTCTTTGTCTTCGTTCGGCTGGCCCTCCCGCCTGTCAGCCAAGATCGTTTGACCTTCCTTGGCAGGCTTATCCCTCCACAGCCGCGCGCAGACCCTCAGTCGATCGTGTCATTATATAATTCTCTCGCCTGGGTCGCATAGCCCGATAGGTCTTTCGCGGCTAGCCAGGAGCAGCACCACCACGAGAGCAGCAATTGACCCGGGCGCCCGATCTGGGCCCCGCTCCGCCATGGGGCCACGCCATAGGCAGTGCTACACATACATTCTCCTTCTTGGACTCGCGTGGCTGGCATGTGGCGCCGCAGGTGAGCAGATCGTGTCACCTCGCGCGCAAAACTTGCGCACGGGCCCCCTCTTGTGCACCGCGTAGCATACACTACACCATAGACGCGATCGAAGCATCAAGGTCTGGCAAAATGCTGCGATCCTGGCGCATGGGCGTCTGTCGTCCTGTACCGGTAGTACTGCCTGCGCTCTTGAAGAGCGCAGGCTCTCCAATTGCGCAGTGCCGGAACCGTGCCCTCAATTGTTAACTCTCCCACCTGCAGGAGCCCTGCCTTCTTTGGACCTTGGGCTTGACTCGCGCGAAGCGCCTGCGCCTGTCCCTGATGTCGCCCGTGCCGTCATCCGCCCAAGCCGGCACCATGCAACGCCAGTGCCCAAGGGCCTTTACGGCGGCGATGGGTGCGCCGGGGGCTATTTCGAGCCCGGTTCCTATGGTGAAAGCTGGAGTGCGTACAACGGTGCAGCTGGAAGTGTGAACCCAGGCCCTGGCCAGGTGAGAGCTCGTGATCCGGCATGAGCAGCAAGCCCAAAACAGCAAGCATCTTGCAACTTGAAGCAGGCAAGGCTGGCCCATATCTGTTGGGGGTGCCGATATCATTACTTCAGCAGCCTCATCGCATTATGTACCCAGCTCATCATGCCTACGCGCGCCCCCACTCCAAACACACACACACGCACACACACATTTGCTGCCCCTGCAGAACACCTCTCAGCCTGTGCTCACTTTCAAGGTGCCCGCCGACTTCAACCCCAACGAAAACTACCTGATCCTTGCCATCCATGGCAATTGGGAGCAGCCGTACGGGCCTGAGCATCCCGCTGCCTTTGACGTCGCTCTGCTGGACGCTCAGGACGAAGCCGTGCTTGCCTTTGGCAACCCCAAGCTGGACCAGCGCACACGCAACCGCAACCTCGGCACCAATTTCGGCATTCACTACAAGACCAGGTTCACTGATGTCGACCTTCTGCCGGGCACAGGCGTTGTCGTGCGTCTCACTGTCGTCAGCAGCAGCATGTGGGACGCGGAAGTGAGCGTGCGCCTGTATTGGACGCCACCTCCCTTGCCGTCGCCGTCACCCCTGCCAGCAAGCCCCAGCCCATCGCCTTCAACGGACGCGTCGCCGTCTCCATCTCCAGCGCCGGCGTCGCCAAGCCCGGTGATCCCCTCTGCTTCTCCAAGCCCCTCACCCTCCACCGAGGGCGGGCGCTCCCCGTCGCCCTCGCCACCGTTGGCGCCCAGCCCTAGCCCTGAAGAGCCCCAGGCATCCCGGTCACCTGCGCCCGAGGAGCCCAGCCCTTCGCCATCGGTCGTGCCGAGCCCGACACCAGCGGTGAGTCAAGATGACTTTTGCTTGGCAGCGTAATCAGCTTTCCATCTGCCAGAGACAGCCGATTACCTTGCACCAACCGCGTCCAGCCGAATGCACCACGTGCACCACGAATGCCCGCAGACATTTGAGTTTTCCGCTCGCCCTTTCCGTGCAGGCGCCGTCCCCTTCACCGTCAACAGCAGGCAATGGCACGCGCCACACCCCACGCCTCATTGCACCCGATGCCACCGAGGTGCCCATCCCCCACGAGACCCTGGTGCTCACCTTTGTCTCCGCGCCCATCACCATGGCTTCAAGCTCCGCCGAGCCCGCCGACCCCATTTCCGCAATGGACTTCTGGGTGCCAGCTGACTGGCCGCCCCCCAGCTCCTTCAGCCAAGTGGAGCTGAAGGTTCAGGGCACCTGGGCGCCCACCAACATCAGCAACCCCGACCCTTCATGGGCCACCGTTGGCGTTCCCCTCGCGCCTCTCGGGGCGGCTCACGCCGCGGATGCCTGGCTGGCAGTGGAGCAGTCGTCGCTTGCTACTCGCCTTGTCGATGGCCAGCAGGTGAGGCTGGCGCTGGGGAGAAAATTGAGGCCGGGCTGTCTTCATTTATTTGCGTGCGGCTCGCGGATTGCGCACACATGCAAATGCACCTGCATGCCAGTGCACCTGCATGCAAGTGCACACTCATGCAAGGGCAGATGCATGCAAGTGCGCACGCACGCTCAAATCAACTTACAACCTTGCCCACTGCGCTTCTCTGCTCAATATTTGCAGTACCATACCAACATGACGGCTCGCTGGACCCTGCCGCAAGGAATTGTGCCCGGCGAGCACTACCAGGTCCTGGTCGCGGTCGGTAACGGCACGCTTGCCATCACCGCAACCCTCACGCTGCGCTGGGTGCCACTCGACGACGGCAGCGCACCGTCTCCCAGCCAGAGCCCTGTGCTGTCACCGGCGCCCGTGAGCCCCTCGCCTCCGGTCGGCGAGAATGATGGCGACAACACCGGAAAGGGCGGCCATGGGACCCCTGGCAACCCAGGAGGGTATGGCAGCACCGGCAGCGGCGCAAGCCCTTCGCCTAAGCTGACGCCATCCCCGTCCCCAATCGTCGTCCCGAGCCCAAGCCCAGCCCCCAAGTCCCCTAGCCCATCACCGCCCCAGCGACCCAGCCCCAGCCCCTCGCCTGGCGTTCACCAGCCGCCCTCAGCTGAATCTCCAAGCCCCAGCCCGCCAGCCCCTCAACCCAGCCCAGAGGCTCCATCTCCTGTGAGAACTATTGACTGCATTTTTCCTGCATGTGTTGCGATCACATTCATTGACAGTGTTCGCTGTGAGCAGTTGTTCCGCATCAGCAAACGGCAAACCTGGAAGCTCACCCAACCCCCGTTGCGTCACACCCCCCCAACAACCCCACCAGTCCCCGTCGTCACCGTCGCCATTAGACCCTCAGCTGCCACCAGGGATGGTGAGCCCCAGCCCCTCGCCATCCCCGCCCGGCACCCACGGTTCCCCGTCACCCGCGCCAGGCGGTTATGGCTCATCCCCAGCGCCCGGCAGCTATGGCACGCCGTCACCATCCCATAGCCCTTCGCCCATTCCCAGCCGTTCGCCTGCAGTGGCATCCCCCAGCCCAGCGGCCAGCCCTGTCCCTTCCCCACCAGCGCACAGACCAAGCCCCTCGGCATCGCCAAAAATTGGGGCCAGTCCCTCCCCCTCGCCAGCCGTCAAAGTCGGGCCCTCGCCATCGCCGTCGCCAGCAGTGAAGGACAGCCCGTCACCTTCGCCAGCGGTGCAGGCCAACCCCTCGCCCTCGCCAGCAGTAGAAGACAGCCCCTCGCCCTCTCCTGCAGTGGAAGACAGCCCCTCCCCCCCTCCAGTGGTGCAGGACAGCCCGTCGCCCTCGCCAGCGGTGGGTGACAGCCCCTCGCCCTCTCCTGAAGTGGAGGACAGCCCCTCGCCCTCTCCTGCAGTGAAGGACAGCCCCTCGCCCTCACCAGCTGTGGGTGACAGCCCCTCGCCCTCACCGGCTGTGGAGGACAGCCCATCGCCCTCGCCAGCAGAGCAGGACAGTCCCTCGCCCTCTCCTGATATGGAGAACAGCCCCTCGCCTTCGCCAGCGGTGGGTGACAGCCTGTCGCCCTCTCCAGCAGAGCAGGACAGCCCCTCGCCCTCTCCTGCTGTGGGTGACAGCCCCTCGCCCTCGCCAGCAGAGCAGGATAGCCCCTCGCCGTCACCAGCTGAGCAGGACAGCCCCTCACCCTCTCCAGCTGTGGAGGACAGCCCCTCGCCCTCTCCGGCTGTGGAGGACAGCCCCTCGCCCTCTCCGGCTGTGGAGGACAGCCCCTCGCCGTCACCGGCTGTGGAGGACAGTCCCTCGCCCTCTCCTGCAGTGAGTGACAGCCCGTCGCCCTCACCAGCGGATCAGGAAAGCCCGTCGCCCTCGCCAGCGGAGCAAGACAGCCCTTCGCCTTCGCCACCGGTGGAACACAGCCCCTCGTCCTCACCGGCGGTGGCGGACAGTCCCTCGCCCTCTCCGGCTGTGGAGGACAGCCCCTCGCCCTCGCCAGCGGAGCAAGACAGTCCTTCGCCTTCGCCAGCTGTGGAGGACAGCCCCTCGCCCTCACCGGCTGTCGAGGACAACCCCTCGCCCTCTCCTGCAGTAGAGGACAGCCCCTCGCCCTCTCCGGCTGCGGAGGACAGCCCCTCGCCATCCCCTGCCGTCCGAGACAGCCCGTCGCCCTCTCCGGCGGTGGAGAACAGCCCCTCACCCTCGCCAGCGGTGGAGGACAGCCCCTCACCCTCTCCGGCTGTGGAGGACAGTCCCTCGCCCTCGCCAGCGGTGGGTGACAGCCCTTCGCCCTCTCCAGCAGAGCAGGATAGCCCCTCGCCCTCACCAGCGGAGCAGGAAAGCCCGTCGCCCTCTCCGGCCGCTCAGGACAGCCCCTCGCCCTCTCCTGCGGCGGAGGACAGTCCATCGACCTCTCCTGCAGTGGAGGACAGCCCCAAGCCCTCACCGCCTGTCGAGGACAGCCCCTCGCCCTCTCCTGCAGTGGAGGACAGCCCCTCGCCCTCGCCAGCTGTGGAAGACAGCCCCTCGCCCTCGCCAGCGGTGCAAGACAGCCCCTCACCCTCTCCGGCTGCTCAGGACAGTCCCTCGCCCTCTCCTGCGGCGGAGGACAGCCCATCGCCCTCTCCTGCAGTGGAGGACAGCCCGTCGCCCTCGCCAGCTGTGGAGGACAGCCCCTCGCCCTCTCCTGCAGTGGAGGACAGTCCCTCGCCCTCCCCTGCCGTCCAAGACAGCCCGTCGCCCTCACCTCCTGCAAACAGCCCAGCCAACAGCCCTGCTCCCGAGCTTTGCGGCTCTGCCCGCGTCGATGCTGCCCGCGCGGCAGTGTGCGGCGCCGGCAGCCCTAGCTGCGGCGATTTGGCGGCTACCGGCGTGCTCAGCGGTAGTGACTGCAGTCCGGAGCGGGCCGCGGAATCGACGGCACCCAGCAGCGTTTCGGCCCTCACCTTCTACGCTGACACATCCAGCGGCACCATCGAGGCCATCAGCGCGACGACGGCCGCCACCACTAAGGTGTTTGGCAGCGCCGACGCTTCTATCCAGGCCGCGTCTCAGCCGAGCGGTGACGCCACGGCTGTTACGCCGGCACCACCGCTCCAGCCCGTGCTCTCGGTGGACCTCTCACATCCTGTCACTGAGATGACCGCCTGGGTCTACGCCAGCACCCCAACTGACCAGCTGCAGGGCGCTGCCGCCAAGGCAGCTGTGGAAGACCCAAATACCGCCAGCCGTCGCAGGCTCCTGGGCGAGCTCAGCCGAGCTGTTCGCGCGCGCCATCTGCTGGCCAAGCCTGCCGCCGAGACTGCGGCTCCTGTTGCCGCTGCAATGGCCAGCAGCAACGGGGCCAGCAGTGCTGCTCCCCATGAGCACAAGAAGGCCGGCGTTGTGGGTATCCGTGTCGTGACGCAAGGCGCGCCCGGCGCGCCGCCGCACGTGATGGAGTGGGGCATGGTTCAGCCAGAGGACCAACAAAGCGCGGCCGGTGGCATCAAGCGCATCAAGATGGACGTCGGCAGCGGCAAGCTGGCCGGCGTAGCCTTCTTTGAGGGCTCTGCCAACAGCCAAGGTGGGGGGGCTTGACGCCAGAGGAGAAGGGTCTCGGTTGCCAGCCGCCCACTCGGACGATTGCAGTTGTATGCACTATGATGATCTAGTTTGCATGAGCAACCTCGATTATACATACTCCAGCACCCATACCTCAACCAACTGTCATGTCAACCTCGCCCCGCAGACAAGAAGGACCAAGCCTTCGGCTTCACCTTCTTCAAGCTCCCACCGGGCTCGCGTGCCGGCTGCAACTCCGTCATCGCGCCCTTTGGCATGTGCGGGGGCGTGCCCGCTGACTGCATCACCTCCAAGAAGTGCTCCGAGGTGCCCCGGCCAGGCGCTTGCTGCACAGATGGCTTCGACTGCCTCAGCGACGCCACAGGCACGGCGCCTCTGCGCTGCCTGCCGCCGCTCGGCACGGCGTCGCCGTCCCCGTCTCCGTTGCCGTCGCGGTCCCCCTCGCCGTCACCCTCGACTCTGCCGCCGGCTTCGCCCTCGCCGGGCCCAAGCGACGATGACAACGAGGCCCCCGCTGACCCCCAGCCCCTCCTGCTTGAGACCAAGGTGCGCCAGGGTTGGCAGGCCACGCAGCTCAACCTTGGGCCGTATTGAAGAACGAACGCCAGCCCAAGCAGCATAGAAAGCATGATGTGAACCTTGTGACGGTGCCGTTGTAAAGCAATCTTCCAAAAGCCCCCTCCTGCCCGTCCCCCTCAATACAGGCCACCTACACGATGCCGCACCCCGTCAACGCCGGCCACGCCAGCGGCAAGGCCGCGACCACAACTCTCATGCACGCCCGCACCCCCGACGCGCTCGTGCCCGAGAACAGCCGCCTGACTTTGACACTCTCCGGCGCTTGGAAGGCCGCCGATGGCAGTGAGCCCGACAGCAGGAGCGGCCGCGTCGTGATCGCCCTGCCGCCGGGCCCCCAAAACGCGACGCGCCCTGCGCTGGCAGCCACGCTGGCGTCACAGTTCAGCGATGCAGACGGCGGCTCGAGCGATTTCAGCTACTCTGTGTCTTGGAACAACCTCACGGCCATGCGGCCAGGCGACCAGCTCACAGTGCTCACGCAGACCCGCGGCGGCCGCTTCACCCAGCTGCTCGCCAAGGTGGAAATTGTCTGGATCGCGTCGCAGCTACAGCAGCAGCAGCCGCAGCACCCAGCCCACGGCCACGGCAAGGCCTCCCCCTCGCCGGTGGCGGCACCCTCGCCGAGCCCCACGCCTGGCGGCGCGCTCGCGGACGAGTCGACCACCGTTGTCGCGACGCCGGCGCCTGTCCACTTCAACGGCAAGGGCCTCACCGCCTCCGCGAGCAACCTCACCTTCTGGCCGCTGCTCAACTTCACCGTCCCGCCGGCCTTCAACCCGCTCAACAACTATGTGGAGCTCTGGACGCGCGGCGAGTGGGTCGCCGACTCATCTGCGGCGGCGGGCGCGCCACTGGGCGTCGTCGGCGTTGCTTACAACGGCACTCTGCTCGCGTACGCTGTGGCCAGCCACTACACGGACCATGCCGGGCGGTCGGCAAGCTTCAGCTTTGGCACGCGCTTCGGGAACGTGTCCCTGCCAGCCGGCGCCGTCGCAGAAATCTGGGCTGGCATGCGCGCGGGCCACTTCCGCGCGCTGTCCGCCAGTGCCTCGCTCACCTGGTCGCCCGCCGAGGGGGACGCCACCCTACCCGCCTCATCAGACGGCGATGCCGCGCAGAACGGCGCCCTGTCGCCTGCAATCGAGCAGAAGGCCACCGTCGCCATGGCCAACACCCGCACGTTTGCCGCGCCGGCAAAGACCGCCAGCAAGCCCAACGTGGCGGCCATCCTGAACTTCACAGCACCCCCTGGTGAGCGAGGGTGTTGGTGCAGGCAACGCACTTGCTCGAAGAGACTATGTATGATGCACTCGTTCGTTTGCGTGCTGCATGCCCCCGGAGTCCTTGCATGTGGCTACATATGCATCCACGCCCACAAAAGCACACCCATTGCCCCATTTTAACGCACAACTGACACATGCAGGCTTCAACAAGGCTGAGAACACTGTTGAGATGTGGCTCACTGGCCAGTGGGACAGCATCGCCGGAGGCAAGGGCTCCAACCCGGCCAAGCAGCCTCCTATTGGTGGCGTGGCGCTTGTGCGCGATGGCCAGGTCCTGGCGTACACCTTCCCTTCAGGTGGGGGCCTCTCAACGGTGCCCAGGCCGCTGCAGCCCATTGGTCAAGCTAAAATGGTTCTGCTGCGACGCATGAGCTGCACGCTTGCCACCCCTGCGCGTGCGAGCCTGCTGTGAATCTGCTCGCGACACACGCCGCAGACGAGGCGAAGGCACAAGGCGGCAAGTTCTTCTACGGCGCGGTGTGGCAGAACGTCGGCCTGCCCTCCGACGGCATTGTGGAGGTCTGGGCCGGCATGCAGGGTGGCGCTTTCAAGGGCCTGCACGTCAACATCACGGTGGGCCATGCGCTATAGTCACATAGAGCGTGTTGCTGTCATTTACCGCACGCTTCAGGGCAAACGGTTCATCGCTAGGCCTCCTGACAACGACGTTTTTGGCTGCCTACACATCGTTGCTGCCCCCTCATCTTGCCTTCTCTGCAGCTTCATTGGACCCCCGGCGGCGACGGCAGCGACCCCCTGCAGCCTCCAAGCGCGCCGGTGGACGGCAACCCCCTGAGCGACAACACCACGCTCCAGTCGCCCTCTCCCCTCCCTGCTGGCCCTGAGGTGCCCGCGTTGCCCAGCCCTGCGGTGGCGCCGGGGCAGCTGAACGCCATCTCCGCCGACACGGCCACCGCGCCCGCGGCTGGCGGAGCGGCCGCAGCTGCATGCAAGCTCAAGCTGGCGCCTGGGAAGCAGTGCGGTGAGTTGAGCCACACTCAGGCGGATCCCTCTTGAGATGAGATTCAACTTTGCTTTGTTCATTGTGGGCTTTTTTAGGCGTTGTTTTTCACGCAGTGGGGCTGCCCCTGTACATGCTCACAAAGCGCTCAAGAATGCATGCCACCATAACCCCCTACACCAAAGCGCTCAAGAATGCATGCAATTACAACTCCTTACACCAACCAGGCGGCACTGGCGGATCATGCAGCAAGTACAACCAGGGCTGCAAAGATGCGCCCTTCCCTTCCACCTGCTGCACAGCAGGCTTCACCTGCCGCCGCAACAACGCGCTTTCTCACACATGCGTCCCCATTGACGGCCCAAAGAGGCGCCTCTTCTGGTAAACGTACCCCCTAATCCCTGCTTCTGAAAACGATGCCTCTGGACGCTGGCGCGGCACACCACAAAACGGCGCAAGGGCCGGGATTATGCCCCCGTCCTGCGCGCTGTTTCTCACCCGCTGCTTGTCTAGCAACGCTCAACCCCCATCAACGATCGCATTGTTTCATCAGGCCTTATCACAACGTCACAGATTCGCACTGTCTGCCTGGCCTGCAGCAATGCAGCTCACATCATACCGCATGTGACAGCCAGAGATAACGTCCTATGCACGACGAACATGCGCGCGCCGATGCGCCGCACCTGCTCTTTCATGCCCAACACATCCTGCCTTACTACCTGGCACCCACGAGATGGTCCCGGCCTTTCTGCTTTCGGTAGCTTTTTTTACCTTGCTTTGCGCGGCAGGCTGGCGCTTCACTCGGCGGATTGCTTTCGGTGTTGGAAGTCCTTCCAACAAAAATCCTGCATCGGCATGGCGCACCCCACACGTTTCTGACTGTGGAGGCCGCACCAGGGCCTGATACATATGCTTGACACGCTGTGCTTCTGCCTTGCATTCCTCCACAACACCTCCATCCCGCACCGACCCCAGCCCGGCACGCCAAGTGAGCTGACGGGGGCGGACCGCAGCAATAACAAATAGTCCAACATACTGCTTTGACCATTTTATCTGTTTGGGGTTTGCTCACACCACAACTCAGGGAAGAAGATTGCATGTGCTTCTGCGTGAATGCAGGGCAGTTCAGCAGGACGGGTGGGCCTGTGCGCAGGGCGCCGAAAGCGCCATCGTGCAGGCCCGAAACGGCGTATGATGCATTGCGTTGCAGTGTAGTACATTTGGGGTGCCCATCAATGTGTGACATGGCTGTAATAACAACCAACCCCATTGACCATGAGCAGATGCTGCTGGGTGCTGGGCAGGATCGATTTCACGCATTGAGGCTGTCGGCGTCACCGATATGTCAGTCTATCAAGCTCTGAGCGTGAACGTATGGGTTGAGTGTGAACGTATGGGTGAGAAGCAAATGACAACAGATTTTGATCAGGTTGATACATACTTTTATGGCACTTGCACCAACCAAGACGCCATGAAACCATCCATTCAACCACTCAGGGGTTCCGGCCGACCATGCTGTGCACGCTGTGCTCCCCACGCAGCACCAGTGCAGCTGCTGTGCAGATCGCTTGGGTGCTTGAATATCGAGGGAGTAATCGATGGCTTGGTTTGTTGATGCTCAATGGCCACGCATTGAGACTTCTCTGCTCGCGGAGTGTGCGAGCTCACCTGACAGGGATGCCGCAACAAACGCGGCAGCCCGATAGCGGGGACCAGGAACAGCGGTGGTTCGAGCTCGCCACGCAGAAATGCAAGCACTGCGGGGACGAGGATTGGAGCGCCGACTACGGAGAGCGCACACTGCTGCTTTGCACGGCGTGCGGGAGAGGCTGTGCGCATGTTGGCTGTGAGGAAACGGTCACTGGCCAAGAGTATGGAGAGGACTTTATGGACAGTGGTGCAGACTGGTTCTGCTGTCAGGTGCGCTGCGGAAGGGACAGCGGCACTGGGCGTTTTGGCGCCGACACGTCGTTCAAAAACGGCACCAACCCTTGTCAGGCCCCGCAAGCCATCGGCTTAGCGCTCGCTGTCGATTCCTTCGATTCTGATCTTTAGGCATGCGAAAACCTGCACCTTGCGCTGGAGCAAGCGGCGGGACGCCGGCTGCCCATCCGCAGCGAGGGGCAGCAATACACTCTCGAGATTGCGCGGCAGTGCCCAGGCGCCGCCAAGAGTGAGCGCCGCCGCGGGCACCCCAAAGGCGCACAGGGTTTTGCGCGACCCATGCGCATAGGGGCGCAGCCAGGGCTCGCGCCTGTACACTCTCTTGGCAATGGGCAGCAAGTGCTCGCCCTGAAAGGATACCCGCGCCTCAAATCTGCATGCGGCCCCACCCGTCCTGCAGGCTCTCGCTCCACCATCGACAACGTGCTCAAGGTGCTGCGGGGCGCCTTTGGTGAGCGGCAGTGGGCAGGAAGTGAAAGAGGTTGCACGCCGCCATGTGCTGTTGCGAATCTGCTGGAACAGCAGCATGTGTCTCGTGGCGTCGCCTGGGCCGTCTCTGGCGGGCATGCTGCATGCGCTGGCGCATGCGGCGGTCGCGCACTCCTCTACCACCTCAGGCATGCTGCATGGCCTGCATGCGCTCCTAGGCTTGAATGTCTCTCTCTGCCGACTGTACACACTTGGCTCATCCAACTCAGCCCCCCCCCCCCCTCAACCTGCCCTTAACAGACCCCCTGATCATGAGCAATGGGAGGGACATAATGGAAATGGTCTGCAACGCATATGAGTCACCGGAGGGGGAAGGAGGGGACGGTGATGATGAGGACGAGGAGGACGAGATGTTTGACTTCAGTGAGTGGCCTGAGCTTGTCA